TCAACAAAGAATAAATCTAATTGTTATCTAGGACCTTATATAATTTCATTGGAGTTACCGAAAATGTAAAATTGAGCAAAAACTAATACCATATGTAATGACATGTTTTACTCTAGTTCTAGCTTTTACAACATTTAAACGTTTTCTAAATTACATATTTACCCTTTGTATGCCTTTGTAGATGAGTTGGCCTCCAAAGTCCAGAATGTTAAAGGTCCCTTCTTGTGCTCTGTGCCATTTTCCTAATGTTTCCTTCTTTTTCACAGTTTTTTCCAGCTTGTCCTCTATTTTCTTCTGAACCTGCTCAGGTACATGGTCTTTTTCAACATGCTCAGCTACATGCTCTTTTTCCAATGTAACTACTTCTTTTACATCATTAGTGGGAGACTGAACCTCCGACTACATGTTATAACATAAATATTTATTATTTATTTTCAGCAGTTAAAATCTGAACAATAAGAGTTTTGCTTTTTTAAATCTATTCAAGAAGGGAAAAGTTCTACATTACTTATTTTTAGTACAATAAAAATGAAAATGAGATTTATTTTATTTCAAGAAGGAAAGTTTTCTTTACAGATTTTCATAAATTACCTCTGCTCTAAGGAATCTCCCAGATCCTACAATTTCAATTTTCTGTAGAATCGAACAAATTGTTTTGTGATTTGTGTGATCTGTGATTTATACAAAAAAACGAATTTTAAATGAAAAAAAAAAATAATATGGGTATTATTACCTTGTTAAACAATGATATTAATTGTTTGACTGATTTAGATTTTTTCTCATCCTTTACACTTGATTCTGAATCCTCACGTCTTGTTTCCTTCTTACTTGATGTTTGCATATTTTCTGAGTCAGCTTCATTATTTGTGCTTTCTGCCGTTGGACTCTCCTTTCCTCCATCCAAAAGTTTTCTAGTTACAATGTGTGCAACACCTGAATCATAAATTTCAGCTGCTTTTTCTGGTGACAAAGCAAACAAATCATTGTACACAGGAATTGTACACAGAACTCGGCTGGGATTTGAAGGCAAGTATTATAATTACCAAGCCACAACTCCTCTGTGTTCTTTTGTTAT